TTTTTAAATGATTAAACCAACATGCATGTAACTTGTTTTCATTGTGGTATTTGATAAATGGTAAACTTTTGCTGTAATCACTGCATACAGCACATCTTAGTTCTCCCATGATGTTGTGAAGGGGGTAGACATGGAATGGATGTACTGTATATAAGCAGAATAAAGCTGTTACCTTACCAAAGCTGCATATGAAAATGCAAAAATGCATTCAGACACCCTACTAGGTCCCTACTAGGTACCAGTTTTCAGCTGTATCTATGTTAGAATAGCCCCGGTAAGCCTATGGAGTATTGTATTTCCACTAGTGAGAATGTACTGTTGTGTGCTACATTGTGCAGAGAGCAACAGCAGAGTGTCCTGACTCGATTCTGCCGACGTAGTTCAGAGTTCATGCGTGAAAACAGCTTAAAAGCTTAAAAACACTGGACCGTAATTTCTATATTGTACACGTGTTTGAATATTACTAGGCAGCTGCTAGAGAAACATCTGACTAATTATGGATGTTCACAGTGATTATGAAGTACATATGAAACAGCTGATGCTAATCAGTTGCCTCTTTTCCTACCGAGGCAGTGACGGTGCATTTTAAAGGGGAAAAAAACGGCACAAAACCCAATATACACTCTTTCACGCATTGACACCTTTCATGGCTTATTTTTATTCTGTACTTTAATAGGGAAAAAAGGTACCCTTTCTTTGATGTCTCTTAATTATTGACTGAGGTATCTACAAAAGTGGCCCCCTTAACAATACATTTTATTCTGAGGTGCCAGTTCATCCATGTCCATGTCCTCATTACATCTCCTTTTAAGCTGAACAGATCAAGTATCAAAGCAGCCATCAAGTTAATCTTCTCTCTGCCAGCCACAGCCCACAGTAATGAGCAGATCAGATCTCTGACCGGCATGTACCCCAGACAGGGCACTGCTACTGAAAGGCGGTTAGATGTCTTTTAGGAGGCAGTGAGGGTTGACTGCCAAGCGGAGATGGGCCGCGTACCGCAGCCACCTTTATCCCATCAGCTGGGAGGAGACAAGGAAGAGGGGGAAATGAAGGCAGGAGAGTAACCTGTTCTTACTTGGAGAAGTAAAAGTGGGATGAAAAGAGAACGACGCAAGGGAGAAAGAAAGAAAGAGAGAGAGACCCTCATTAAAAGGCACTGTGTTGGCTTCACAATCATCCCACCACTTCAATGCGCTGTCATGCAGTGATGTATCGCTCTGCATGGCGCTACCAAGGCCTTTATTCCCACTCTCCTCCATGTTTCTCTCTTCTAGCCAATTAAACGCCCACTAGAATCGAGGGGAGGAAGTGCCACATTGAGCATTGCACAATGTGGAGAGAGAAAGCTGATGAAAGGACATGTCTCTTTTAGTCTGCTTAATAGCTCCAGGACACTGTCTGAGTGGCGTTTAATGTCTACAGCATATTCGCCGTTCCTGTTGTCCCATTTCAGTTTCTTCACACGTACATATACTTTATCACCAAGGGATGAAAATGTTTATCACAACTATGAATATTTCATTCACTGTAGTTAAGCTGACTATTGGCAGGCATCACGGCTGTCTTAATGCACCTGCTCTTGAAATGACATGAAAGATCATAAAGAGGCTCACATCCAATGATGAGTCGTCAGTCAAACCAAAACACTCGTAGAATTTTTCAACGCTGATGTCTTTTTCTTTCTCTTTTTTTACGTTTTTGTTTTATCTTGGCATCCTGCTGGCTTCAGGACAGCCACATTGACATGGGGGTTGACACAAACAGGTGCACACGCTAAGTATTTACACTGTATTTACCACACTCTCCTCTGTCTGCCGCGCTATGAATAATGCAGGCCCTAAAATCCTCAACTCGACAATGTGTTTGACCTGTTCATTTGTAGCTGCAGCGCCGATGGCGGGGTCAGAATATGGATGTGTTAACGCCGGGCTGAAGCAGAAGTTAATCGCAACAGCGGGACGGGACAGGCTTTGCTGCTTCTCATGCTGCCTGTGTCACTCAGGCTGACACCATAAATCTCACTTATTTTCAGATCCAAGTGAGACACGGGCAGAAATTACGGCCCAGAGCACATTACCAGCCTCAGCAGCGTGCTGAATGCTAACAGAGAGATCCTTGATAAAGCAGACAGGCAGTTCTCCTGCACCTTATTGGACAAAAAGAATCCCATGTATTAGACTTGAGGGGCCAGACCGGCTCGTAAGTAAAGCACAAACACCGGCGTCAACAGGTGAGATGCAAACTAACATTCAACCCACATACTTAGAGGTGTCTCTAAAGGTATCGGCTAAAAATCTGTATAATGCATGCAGAGGTAAAGGACACCACCGTTCAAACCTGAGAACATCTTGATTGGTACAATACAGTTTCGGGCCAGTTCTCATTTTTATTGCTGCTTCGCATGAAGGAATAAAAAGTACTCCGTTTTTATTAAATGTGTGTGTCATTTTCAGATGCATGCTGCACATCACTGTTCTAAATCAATGCTCACTGGAGATGGTGTTTCAGGTGTGACTAAGCTATAGCATCTTTGCCTGGCTGTCATCATGAGGATCTGTTTTGTTAAGGGTCTTTATAAGAAAGCCTAGTATCTTTTTTTCCTCCCTGCAAGGCCTCCTAAAGAAATAATATTATCTGATAAAGATAATCCCTACTCCCCATTTAAAGGCGACATTGACACATGACATATAAACACAGAATATCCTTAACTGTACGTTTTGCTCATAAGTCAGTAGCCATGCTGCCGACGTTCGCAGTTACTGTATGTCGCATATCGTTCTCGTCATTTCTCCCGATGAAAACATTGTTTGTCACCGCTCATCTTAGGCCTTGTTATTCTTGTAACAACAGATCATAAATCATAAATAATTTAAAAGATAACATAGTGGCAATACTGCATTTTGACGTGATGTGTTAATTTGTTAGAGTTGTAATCTGCTGCATTCAGTACAAAGGAAGCTCGCTTCGTGACACGACACAGAAACCAATTATTTTATAGCGTGTCTTATCTCCTGTTCAGCCAATTTCACATTAAATGCAATACGTATTTGGTCCTATCAAAGGCTGCTGTTTTCTCCCGCTGTTTCTGATACGACGCAGAGGAGGCCTTCAGAGAAATCTTTACATGCTAAAAGTAGCACTGGCATTATAAATGGCACATTCAGAACTATCAAAATAAAGCTTGCATCTCAAAGACCAGCCTGATCTATAGTAAGAACACGTGCATTTCTTTTAGTTTCGCAGGCCCATATTTCATTGTCTCTTCATTCACACTTTTTTAACCTGCTGATGTTCGCCACTGGTCTCTATTATGTGTTTAATTGCGCTGTCTATGTCCGAGCGTGCGGACCGCTGATGCATCACCGTGCGATCCCGCTGTGGCTTATTACTGCCAGGCTTCGCTCTCTACAGCTCTCGACCCGCTGGGTCATATCCAGCTGCTGTAATCTAACATTAGCGCCAGCTTTCACCAGGTCCCCACCATTTACCCTATCATATATTATAGATGACCCTCTGAAAATGGAGGAATCCCAGCAGACGTGGAATTAATTTACAGCATTCCTCGGTTTTAAGACGAATTGAATCAAAGTCAGTGGCACAGCAAGAGAAGGGTTTATATTGCTATATAACACTGTCACAGTCTATAAAATTGTAATGAAACGCCATTTGAAGATTAAGTGGGGTTTTTTGTGATTCATCGGTATCTCTTGGCTCAGCTAATAATCATTTCACTCCAAAGCTGAATGATGCTACAAATGACCAGCCTTACAAACGACGAGCTTTCTTTCAATCAAACTTAATCCTCCTTTTCTTTTTCTTTTTTCTTTCTCTTTGAATGAGCTCCATTGGAAAGCTCACAAACAAGTCTTTGGAAAGCGAGTGCACGGCTCTTGTATACTTCCCCGGTGACTGTGGGATATATATGAATATGGACAGGAAGTCAGCCACTGTAGATTGGTCCTGTCTGTGCCTGTCAGGTTTAGCAATAAAACACTAAACAAATGAGACGTTTAATTCAACAGGCATCACTCAAGAGGAAGATTTCTCTGTTAAAAGGGGGGAAAAATAGTAGGAACACATCTTCAGTGCTGGCAAAGCTTCAATACAGTGGGGACAGAAAAAGATGCCTTCGGGTTCTCGCCTATTGAAATCAAGGAAATCTGAGCTTTTGTGAGACTGTCTCTTTAGCAGAATGAAAACATCTTGAAAATAGAGACTTTTGTCATGCTTTACAATTAGCTGAAGTCCCTTAAGTTCACCAGGCGCAATATATGCGTGCTCTACACTGTAACTATTGAAAAGTACACTTTGACCTTAGTAGCGACTATTTACTGTGGCGCTCAGGGTTCTGTAGCAGTTTGTGTAATTGAAGTGCAATTTCTTTGGGCTGAATAGGCAGAAGAGACAATCCAATGTGCTTTGGTGACTTCAGAGAGAAAAAAGTTAACTCAGACTTATCTTAATTGGTTCCGATTATCTTCTGTGACAATGCTGGTGTGTGTATGTGTGACTGCGTGCGTGCGTG